AGTTATAGATCTAATAGAGAAATCTGTCAAACAATCAGCTAAACTGTTAACTTCACGTACCACATAACATAAGTGAACTTGCCAGTTATGATTGATAAAGCTACGCCCTTGTTGATAAAACATGTACAAGGGATGGTGCTAAGGCAGCCCATTGTTGAAAGCAGCAGACACCTCTCTATAGTCAGTTTCAATACATAGGTACTTAGTCCCATACTCCCAAGCAGTCTCTAAGGATGTTAAAACAGCATGCATTTCAGCTTCCATAATAGAGCAAGGCTCTAACTTCCGGCAAAAACCTCTCACCCAGGTCCCTTTCTCGTCACGCAAAACACCCCCACAACCCACTTGAGTACCCCCTAAGCGAACAGCAGCATCAACATTGAATTTTAGCCAACCTACAGGTGGTGAAACCCAGACTGTCAACCGGTCCTCCCCCTGCAAGAGCCTATAATCCCCCACCTTCCAATGTTGATCAACCTCCAACACCAAAAACTTAACTTTCTTAATAACCTCCTCTTCCTTCCAAACCCAATTAGCAAAAATGACTTCATTCCTAACCTTCCGAATAGACCAAATAGTAATACCAAATATTGAATTCCAAAGTATTGATGAAGAGGTAGTGTGACTATTGATCCACTCGGTAAAGTTTGATGTAAAGAAGCCACCACCAAGAGACCTGTTATACTCCTTTAACAAAGAACACCAGATCGGGTAAACAAGAGGGCAATCTCTCAATATATAAATGTCTTCCTCAGCCGCAGTATGACAAATAACACACAGGTTATCCTCAGACATCCCACAATTTTGGCGACGAACATTAGTTTTAAGACCCCCTGCAAAACAAACCACACAAACAACTTCACACGATGCAGACCTTTCCACCTCCAGAATTTCTTCCAACACGTATTAGGAGAGCCAAGACGAGCATTGACCTGCAACAAGGTATAAGTTGACTTCACAGTGAAAGAGCAATCAACAGTAAGGCTCCAGACCAGTTTATCTTCCCCATTGTTGACGCAAAGAGGAGGATGATTAATAATGAGACTTATATAGAGAGGAGAGAGGAATTGTTGTAGGCACTGCACCTCCCATTCACCTTCCGCATTCACATAATCACACACCTTCCTGGACTCATCTAATATAGTCGGTGAGTGATAAGCCACAGACAAGAGATTATTTCCCATAGGAAGCCAAACATCCTTCCAAAATCTAACATTGCAACCATTTTCGATTACCCAACGCAGATTATCAACAACCAAATTTGACACTCCAACAATCGCCTTCCAAGATTGGGAGTCTATAGACTTGGATTTCATAATAGGAACTAACCCTTGGCCACATTTATATTTCTCTCTAAGCACTTGGACCCATAGCTCAAAGGGATTGGAGATGAGCTCCCACACCAACTTCATCATGAAAGCTTTGTTAAATAATTTTAGGTTCCGAAAACCCAAACCACCATTTAGCTTCTGATCACAAAAGGGTGCCCCAAGAAATAGAATGCCACCCTCTACTATCTTGCCTGTCATTCCAAATAAATCGACGTTGTATGCTCTTCAGTTTATCACAAATGCCTTTAGGAATTAAGGTGGATTGCATAGTATATGTTGGCATAGCTTGAATTACACTTTGAGCCAAGGTGACTCTCCCTGCAAAAGACAACTGATTAGCCTTCCAACTAGCCAGTCTATTATTGGGTTTTTGAATAATATGCTGAAACGACACTTTGGTCTTCCTAGTATGGATTAAAGGAACGCCCAGATACTTTCCCAGGTCCGCTGTCACTTTAAAACCCACCAAATTAGTCAATTATGCTCTTCTAGTATGATGAACACCTTTCGAAAAGAATACTCTTGTTTTGGCCCCACTAACCTTAGTATCGGCTGCACTGCTAAATAAATCCAGACAAATTTTCACCACCTCCATCTGAGCTTTGGATGCCTCCCCAAACAAAAGAAGATCTTTAGGAAAGAATAAGTGTGATAGTTTTATCTCGCCTTTAGCCATGACAAGCGATTTCCAATTCCCCTCTACCATCCTTTTATCAATCAACTGTGATAGCCTCTCCACACACAGAACGAAAATATAGGGAGAAATGGGATCACCCTGCCTAAGGCCACGTTGAGGAGTGAAGCTATCAGCTTTTTCCCCATTAACACAAACACGGAATGATACAAAAGACAAACAATGGTAAATAACAGAGATAAAGTGATCTCTAAAGCCCAAATCACTGAAAGTATCCACCACAAAAGCCCATCTAATGTTGTCATAAGCCTTCTCCAAATCAACTTTGATCGCCATAAAACCACATTTCCTCTTTGTTCTCCGCATAGTATGGCAAGCTTCTTGGGCAATAATAATGTTGTCCCTACCTTGTCTCCCTGGGATGAAACTGGTTTGTCTTGGAGAAATGAGAGTATTCATATGGTTCTTCAGTCGAACTGCCACCAACTTAGTAAGCGCTTTATAGATCACGTTGCAGAGGCTAATCGGTCGATAATCCTTAATAAAGGAAGGATGGTCAGTCTTAGGGATTAGAACAATATTAGTTTGATTGATCTCTCTTATAGAGTTAGGATGGAGGAACGCTTATATCACCCTATTACACGTTGAGGCTCCTATAGTATCCCATTGTGATTGGAAGAAAATAGGATGCAAACCATCTGGGCCAGGCGCTTTCAGCCCCCCCATATTGAAAATAACAGTCTTAATCTCTTGAACAGTCGGAACCTCTTGAATCGTGGCCAACTGACCTACTGTGAGATGGGGAAAATTCCCCCTAATAGGCCAATCCACAACGCCCATCTCATCTTGAAAAAGGTTTTCATAGAAACTTTTGATGTGAAGCATAAGGTTTTGTTGAGATTCAACAAGCGACCCATCATCCTTCTGGAAACACTTAATGGCATTCCTTCTCTTTTCTACTAATAGTCGTTGTATGGAAAAATCTTGTGTTCCTATCCCCAAACTTCAACCAATCTTGCCTTGCTCTTTGGAACCATAATAAATCCTTTTGATCTACAATCTCCTAGTATTCCTTCAATAAAGCTTCTCGAAGCCTTAGAAACCCTGAGTTAGATTGATAATCAATACATCTCTCCACCCCTTCCATCTTAGCAATAAGCCTTCTTTTCTTGTGAAAAATATTGCCAAAATGACTTTTGTTCCAAATAACCACCTGAGATTGGAAATTCGCAATAGCCATCTCCCAATTTTCAGAATATACCCAAGACTCAAGGACCACCTCTCCAAAAGAGGGATCAGCCAACCAATTAGCCAAAAACCTAAAACTTTTATTCCCTCGTTCACCTCTACCACCATGGTTCAGAGCCAAAAGAAGCGGTCTGTGATCAAATTGAAAGAAAGGCAAATGCTTGACCATAGAATCAGGAAATGTCAATAACCACTTGTGATTAGCAATGGCACGATTAATCCTCTCGGCCACATCCCTTGCCTCCCAAGTAAACTTAAGCCCGAAAAAATCCAAATCTAGAAGATGACTTCTATCCAAGCAATCCTGGAACTGAGTCATACTAGAGGCAATCGACCTATTACCCCCCTTCTTCTCACCTGGGTGAAGGTAAGCATTAAAGTCGCTTATCACCACCCAAGGCTTATCTAGAGCATCACTTAAATCTTCAATTCTCTTCCAAATGGCCTTCCTTTGTTGTTGCCTAGGGGACCCATACACGCCTGTAAGACACTAGCTACTACTCCCATCCTTTAAGGCCATATTAACATGAATATGTTGGCTGGAATAGTTGACCACTTGACACTTCACAACCTGAGAATCCCATAGCAACCAAAGCCCCCCAGAAAAACCAGTAGCCTCCACACAAAAAGATTGGTCAAATTATAGACGTCGACAAACTTTATTTGCTCCTTCTCCACTTATTCATGGCTCTACCACTAACAACACTTGAACTTGATACTTACTCTGTAAATCACGAATAAGCGTAGGAAACGCTTTAGCTCCCGCCTCTCGATAATTCCAACTCAGAATATTTACACACATAACAACTAACAAAAAATGAACTAGAAACCTGAGACCTCTTAGATAGCTCCTGATGGATTGTCAACATCCACATTTTGTTTCTCAAAATAGTCATTATCCAACTCCAACATGTGGTCATCACCACCCTCTTTACCATCTCTAAGACACACCCCCTCAACTTCTTGCGTCCCCATCTTTTCCTTATATTTAGCTCGACCAATATCCTGCAACAGCCCTAGAGTAGGAAAGGAGAACTCACCTCCTGATAACGCATCGAAATTTGCCATGGATCCTAGTTTTGATTTCCCTAATTGTGAAATAGCATTATTAATACTAAGGCTAATTCGTTCCTTCTTTCGGGTTTGAGCAGTGCGATTTGGTTGGGCTTTGACTGCAACAACTCTGAGCCCCACTCCCCTGGCTTTTAATTTCATAGCCCTAACGCTCATCCATTTTCTACTGTCACCCTTCTTAACTTCTCCCATAGCTTTATATGAAACTCGAATGTTTTGGGTTTCAACCTCACCTTTATGGGCCTCCCTAGTAATAGTAGGCCCTTCCTCACAATTTGTCTCTAGCCCAAGCAATGGGCCCCACCTCCGATATCACTTCTTGTCCCACCCTGGGTCCCAATGACCTGATCCTCCATTAATGACTGCTTAGCACACATATCCCGAGATTGTTGTTGTTTGGTGATATTAGACATTCCGGTCTTTTCAATTCCATTTGTATAAAGGTTTTTAATGGAAGTAATCGAATCTATACACCTTTTACTAATCGAACGCTCCACCTTATGCCCCTTACTTGGGATTAGCGCCTTTTCAGACTCCAATAGGCCACTAGTTGATGCGTTATCCATTCCATACAGCACTCCAAACCTTGACCCTTGTTTTCCATTTGTCCCTTTAACATGACTATCGAGAGGCTTACCTGGACCCTTCTTCGACCCTTCACAAGGATCTCTTATAGGTTGACCTTTTCTCCTATTATCACGAGAAACTAGCATCTAAGGCCCGAAGATTCTTTGATCTTCTTCTCGTCTATTTTCCGTTCCCCCCTCTATAATAATACTAGCAACCTTGTTCTGAGCCACTTTTTGTTGTTTCTCCATCTCGCCTCTTTGACATTGATCTTTTTGATGGCCATATTGCCCACAAGAAAAGCACACCAGGTTCAATCCTTCATACTCCACAGGATACACCTCATGTTGGATCTCAAAGGAAGGAACAAGAACTTTAGCTAAGTCCACCTCTATGCATAATCTTGCAAACCGTGCTCTCTCTGTGGTGTATGTCTCCTCCATACTCTCACTCGACTTCTTTAGCGTGTTGGGGTTGGTCCTAACATATCGCCCTAGACTGTTCCCAATCTTGGCTAAAATTCCTACATCATAAAATTCCAACGGAAGCGCTGGTATTCTAACCTAAACAACCACTTTGCGAAACTCATTCTTCAGGGGTTTGAAACCTGGGTGCCATCTATGAACAATCAAACAATGACCCAAAATCAGCCACGACCCTTCGTTAATCGCATACTGGACATCCTCCCATACATCGAATCGCACTAGAAAGAAATCACCATCTAACTCCATAACCTCCACACCTCCCATTGGGTTCGAGAGTTTTAAGAGTCTCGACTTCAAATATGTCCACCCTATCTTCTTCCCCAACAATTTAACTATCACCGACCTCTTCCATGGCTGGCAAGCCCTTCTTATCTCATCTTTTGTCACTTTAATGCTGGGACATAATGGGTTCCCAACCAAATTATCCAACTCCTCGTACGCTTGAAAATCTTTTTCTAAGTCGTCCTCGAGCATAACATCTTCATCCCAAGACATTGCCTGTGTGCAGTCCCTCCATTAACACCGGATATAACATCCTTATAAGAGACCCTAACCCTTCATAATGCTTCATCCGCAGACACGGGAAAGGTTATTCCTTTAGTAGTCAAGATGTTGTCACTCACCTATCCTAGAATGGCATCCTTCTCCACAACATTTAACAGCCCCCCGTAAGCCGATTGTTGTTTTCCTCGTAGCTTATTCCAAGCCAAAATATCCAACTCTTCCGCCGTCAACTCGTCCAAAACCCTTGTAGCCATCTAAGTTTGCAGATCTTAATATTGATTGGGTTCCTAAATAAGGGTCATCGTGTATCTCGTTTGCAATTCATGGATGATACTTTGATTATGAAAAAAACTCTACGAAAAATGTGAGAACATCCAAAGCTAACTTACATTTAGTATAAGATGTTTTAGGTTAAAAGGTGAATTTCTGTAAATGGAATAAATGTGGACGATCAATGGTTACATAGGGGAAGAATTGCAAAATTGGCAAAATTGGTAGAAGTGGAAAAGTAAATCAACTCGACTTACATGTATTCGCTCATTACGGGTTAGTACTTTAAATAAGTCAACTCAATTCAGTTTATTTTTTAGTGAGTCAAAAAAATTTCAACCCGATTCAATCTATCACGGGTTGTTAGATTATATGGGTTGGCTCAGCATTTTTTTTAAATAAATAAAATAAAAATAATAATTACATTTATATTTTTTATAAATAAAATAAAGAGTCATAATTTTTTATATCCATAAATCAAGTTTATCATTGATTCAAATGTAAATACATAAGAACATATTAATAAAAATTTCAAATAAAAAACACATAAAACGTGTATATATATATATATATATATATATATAATATTATGTTTTTTTAATAGTGGATTAAACGGGTCAATTCAACTCACTTAAACTCAAACCTGTTTGACTCACGGATTAAGTGAGTTTGGTTGGAATTTAGCCAAAATTAGTATAATTTTTTTCCTTAACTCGGCTCGACCCAAACTCATAGTGAGTCAAGTTGACCCAGTGGATTTAGCTCATTTTGACACCTCTAAAAATTGGTTTTGTACCTTTTAAGTATCTTGGATTAACTATCGAATCAAATCCTGGGAGGAAAGAAAAAAAAAGTACCTAACAATCACCTGTGAATTTGGTGCACAGTTTACTTGTTTCTTGGGCAAGTAAATATGTGTCTTTTTGGAAGATACATAATGCTGCTCAAGTTATTTACATTTTCTAACTTGATTTTCTATCTTTCCTTTTTTCAGACACCTCAAGGTGTTTTTTTTATATCCTTGAGTGCATTTTCAAAAGATTTCTTTGGGGTGTGGGACAAGGGGTTAAGAAGATTCATTGGGTTTCATGGAAAATGGTGTGTAAGACATAGGAGGAGGAGCTTTATGGGTGAGAAATTTTCAGGTTTTTAATATGGCCTTGTTAATTAAATGGAGATGTCATATGTTGGTGGAGTTATGGAATAAGGTTGTTAAAGGAAAATATGAAAATGGCGACAAAAAGTGAAATAATGTGTTAAGTCAAAAGATAAATTTAGATTTCTCAAATTTTCATGTTTTATTTATAACAAATGAAAAGTTTTTCTAATAAAAAAAATGTTTTTTATCATACGAGATGTAAGATACTAGCTGTAATAAGACATTGTCCAACCAAAAGAAACATATTATTTGATAGACTAACATTTACTTTATCATTTATGATGTTTAACAATGAAGTTATTTGTCTGAATGTTTTTTTAACAGATCAAACCTTAAAAGCTTTTTTGAAAATCGTAATTTATTAAAAGGAAACAAAGACATGTTTTACGTCAAAAATAGGTCAAGTGGATTCCTGTAATCACGAAAAGAGCTCGTTAAAGTTGTTTCAAATTTACATAATTTTAACATACGTTTTATTTCATCCGTTTGGTATCTAAAAGATGATAAGTAGTCTTTTTGATCAAATAAAAAATGACTTTTTGGTGAAATGCATTTAATGTTTTAACAAATACTTTTCTCATCAATAAATTAAAGATGAAGATAGATGAAACATGCTTGTCAGAAATGCTCAAAGTGTTGTAATGGTCATCTTCATTAAGGTTACTATATAAGAAGTTTGATGTTCAAAAAGAAGAAAATAATTTTGTACAATTATCATTCATTTTTTTTGTAAAAACAATTTTTTGTACTTCATTGGTTATATCACATCTTGTTTATAAGACGTAAAACCTTACCTAGATTCAATTGTATGTTATTGGGTTAAGCCTAAGGAAGTTTGTATGTAAAATAATATTTAGTTATTTAAGTCTAGAGCTGCTTGGGGGTACAAATAATACTTAAGTAGTTGCTTAAAAAGGTAAGTCAGAGAATACTCAAGATTAAACCAAAAATGGTTTGGAAAAAAAAATGACTTGTATTTTCGTTAAAGATAGTGAGATTCAAGCTAGTTGAATCGAGAACTGAATGTAATCTTAGTAGTTGAAATGAACCAATATAAAATTTTGTGTGTCCAGTATTTTGACTTCTCGTAAAACACTATTTGTGGTTTGGGTTTCTATTTCATTGTTTGAAAAAGTGATTTTTGATAGGCACTGTTAACCCCTTTCTAGTATCTGTCTTTCCCTCCATAAAATGATGTGATATGTTATTCTTGGTGGAATGACTTATCCTCACTAGAGGATGAGAAGATAATCAAATCAAATAATTAAATTAAAAAAAAAGGTGTGTGAAGAAAAATCTGCTTTATTTTGGAAGGAAAAATGGTTGGATGGAAGTTTTTTGAATAACAAATTTTATAGATTGTATAGTGTCACTTTAGACAAAAAAAAAAAGGAAAAAAAATATATTTGGAGATTTAGTGGGTAAATGGGGCTTGGGTATGGATTTGGAAGTGAAGAAAATATTTGTTTCAATGGGAGGAAGTGCAAGCAAGGCATTTGGAGGAGGAGTTGTTTGGTGTTAGTTTGGCAAAAGGGGATAAGGATGTCTTGGGTGTGTAAATTAGATGCTTCGGGTGAGTATTTTGTAAGATCAACGTATAAAAATCTCACATAATTAACAAATGAAGGTAAAGAATAATTTTTTGCCAAGACATGGAATAAATGAGTTTCTCCAATGGTGCAATTTTTTGTTTGGTTGACAGCACAAGAAAGATTGCCAAATCTTCAAAATTTAGCAAGGAAGAGAGTTGTGGTAGAGGGAAAAGTTGGATGCAATAGATATGATGAGGGGATAAAGGACTCAAAACATGTACTATTTGAGTGTGAAAAAGTTTGGAAATTATAGGTTGGGTTGTTGCCATTTTAATGCAGTTATACCCAATGACCTTAAGACAAGTTTGCTATAAGTTATACGTTTTTTTTATAATCAAGTTTGTGTTAATAAATCAGGAGGATTGATTGTGTAGCGTGTGGTCCATTGTTATATGGTTTTAGAAACAATGTTGTTGGTATATAAGATATAGTGGAAAGGTTGCAAGTGTTGTCTTGAACTGCAATAAAGCACTAGGACAATTAAATTATCCACTAATTAGTTGGATGCTGCTACCAAGGGGATGCATTGATCGTTACTTTTGTGCTTGCTAATAAAAGTTGATATCTTGATAATTATGCAGTTTTTTTTTTCAGATGTTGGGAGATAAGGATTGGATCTTACTCATCAAAGGAAAAAGGATTAGGTCTTAGTAAATACGCAGTCATATTATGGAATTTTATTTATCAAGAACATGATAGTAAAGAATATTAATGGAGAAAGGAATTAGTATATAATGATAAAATTAATGTACATCTTACCATTATTTGTTTGAGAAAAAAAAATTGAATGTGAGGAGATATGATAAAAAACATTAAATTTATAGCTTGTTTGAGACAAAAAAATAGAAAATAAATAAGTTATTTTGGTGACAGTTGTGAGAAAACATTCCCTCTAAAATTATAATGAAATGGGAAGGAATATTTATTATTATTATTGTTATTGTTATTGCATATTATCATTTATTATATATATTTTTTAATTATTATAACTATATTTTTATATATAATTTGTATATTTATTTTATTTTTCTCTTTTTTTATTCATTCAAACAAAGAAGAGGAATTCTCTCACATTCCTATTTCTTAGTTCTATCAATTCAAACAATATAATTTTTCTATTTTATTTCTTATCTATTTCTATCATCTTTTATTAATTTATTTTTGTTTACTTTATTCCTTGTCCAAACCAAACATTAGATAGTAATAACAAGAAAAGTGTCTATAACCAAGATCTTGAGCTTGCTTTGAGCAATAGATAGGATAGAAAGCCCCATATGATACGTTTGACTTCAATGATTTTGGAAAGAAATATGCGAGAGAAGAAAAATAAAAAAAGATAAGTGTGAAACTCACTTTTAAAAGATGAAAGATCCCTTCGGTGGGAGAATTAGAAAAAAGTTGTCAAACAAAACAAATGACATATTTATCTTTTAATTATGAATTATATAAATATGAAATTAAAGGTAAATATGTCATTATAATTTATACTAGTTTTTTTTTTCTCTTTTACTTTTTTTTTTCGTTTTTTCAATTTAAATAATTTAAAAATCTACCTTTTCTTAATTCTTTTTACTTTACTTTTTTTTCTTAAGTCTTTTTGTCCTCTAAGCAAAGTATATGTAATTGGTCTCATTGATGCTTACATATCTTGGATAGTCTAAGAATTTGTTTGATTTCTAAAAATAATGATATTCGTGAGGATAAATTTTATTATTTTGTATCAATTTACAAAAAGACCATGCTACTAGACAAATAAGATGAAAAAATAAAATAAAAAGCTTATTTTTTATTATTAAAAAATTCATGAGATAACTTTTTATTACAAGAACAATAATATTTATTATCATTATTGTTATTGTATCAAAACCTTACCTTTACTACCATCATATTGTTACTTATTGTCATTGTCATTGTCATTGATCACCATCATTACCACTGTCCACCATTACCTTGCACCTATCATGTTTTTGTTGTTGTCACTGATAACATTGTTAATGTTGTCATTACTACCATTACTACAATTATCATCTCCTTTAAGATAATAAGAATTCATCATGATGACTAAAACGTTATTATAATAAATTTAACATTATTTTATGTGTGTTGTCTATTATTTATCAAATAATGTAATAAATTTAAGTATTTGTCATATGTTATTCTCTTTATCTTATATTCTAGCATGTATCAAACACACCTAAGACTTACCAAAACTCCTGTTGAAGTTTTGAGAATACTTTCGAGCCTAGTTCTATCGGGTTATCATGGTTGTTCTAATCAATAATGAATATACTTTTGATTAAGGAGAAATGAGTGAAAATCAGGTAAGAAATGTGAGAAATAGATAAAAAATTAAAGATAAATATATTTGGTTAGAAATAAATGAAAGAAGAGAAAAATAAAAAAGTAATGAGTTTCATCACTTATTTTTTCATTAATTAAAGAGAAAATAGCAAAACAATAAATATTATATAAACTGGAATCAATTAAATTTATATTTAATTGATCAAAAGTTATTTGGAAAATTTTATATTTAATCGATCAAAAGTTATTTTTTATTTACAAAACTTAAATAATTATCGCATTATAAATTTCAATAATCGATTAAATATTTTCATTTAATTGATTATATCAAAAAATATAACTGACTAAATTAAAAGATTTAACCGAATAAAATACAAGATAATTAATTAAATTTTTTTATTTTAATTAATTAATCTTATATATATATATTTATTTATTTCTATTAAATATATAATATTATTTTATATATTTTTTTAACTTCTCTTAAACCAAATAACCTTAAACTTCATTTTATTTCTTATGTGTCTTTATTTATTTTTCTTTTATGATATTTCTTACCTATTTATTTTCTTCGATCAACCTATTGTGAGCCTATGATTTGTGTTTAGGAAGGGCATGTGCCGCTTGAATCCAAGAAATAAAAGCAATGTTAGGATTTCTTCCGTGCACTTGGTATAAAATGGTTCACGATGAACATTAAAATGTTAAAAAGATGTGATTCACACGTGGTCTATGTATTTAAAATCATCAGATATATTAGAAAGAGAAAAATATATGAACGGATTAGATTAATCCTATTTTCTCATTTTAACTTTCGAATAAAAATTATGTAATAATATTAAATGACTCTTTTGACTTTAGCCTTTAGGATTTGTAATTGTAAAATACAAGCCCAGGTTCTGAAACAACAACACGAGGATGCAGAGATAACACCGTCAAACTTGAATTACAAGTCAAGTCATGGTAATTTCAAATCATTATTTAATAATTTTAAAAATTCATATAGTTATTTTTAATTATATTTTTTTGTTTTAATTTATATTGTCTATAAATCACTTTATTTTTTTTATTGTTTTCAGTTAATGTAAAGAGAAAATGATATTTTTAAGATCACGTATTTTTCTTTAAAATATTTAACACAAATACATATTCAAATTCAAAAAAGTTCATTAAATTAAAATAAATTTTTAATAGAACTATTTAAAAATTATTTTAAACTAAATTATTAAAAAATTAAATTGAACTAGACTGATTTTTTAAAACTATTTTTATTATAAAAATTGAATTAAATTAAAATTTAAGTTCAATTTTAAAGAATTAAATTATTATGAAAAATAATTTTGTTCGTATCAAATTAAAAAAAAATTAATTCAAAGTAAAAGGTAGTTCAATTTAGTATAAAATATAATTCTGATCAAATTTTTAGAATTTAGTTTGCATGAGCTATTTACCAATTTAATTTAGTTCGAGTGACTTGTTATAACAGTTAAGTTTAGCTTAACATTTTTTAACAATACTAATAATTTTAATATAATATAAAAACATAAAAAGTAAAATTTAAGTAACTATAGCACATTTTTATTCTTATCACACACTTCTTCACTCAAGCATTTGCCTATATGTCAAACTTATAGTTCAAGTATTTTTTTTTTTTAACTTTCACAATTATTTATATTTTTGAATTTTTATTTTTAAATAGCCACTCTAATACTTTTTTTGTTTGAATATTTTCAGTTCTATCTTGAAATATTCTTTCAGTAATTTATTTTCACAATATTAACTTATTATTTTTTATTTTCATCTTTTAATATTTTTATTTTAATAACATTATTTTATTTATAACTAAAAATAAATTATATATTTATTAATTATCAAATTTAAAAAGCTTGATTTTTAAAAAAAATTCCTGAACTCAAATATTACAAACGAATAAAATCAACCTCAAAATAAATTAATCCAACTCAAACGATAGATAACGAATTTTTTAAGCATGTCATTAAGGATTTAATTTCTGTATGAAAAGCTTTATTTTTTATTTTTTTTTATATATATAGAACAATTAAAATCTGCTTCGAGAATTTTTACGTCTTAAAAGAATTATTCCAGAAGCACAATTTGTATTAATTAAATGTAATATGCTTTTAAAGTGTGAAGTTCTCCTGATAAAAAAAAATATATATTGTGAAGTTCTCAAATAATAAATATTCAAAAGATAAAAAATATTCAAATTTAACTTTAATTAATGTTAGTATGTCACTGATATAGCATTTATTACTTTAAAAAACACTTTCTGACTGCAGATATTCAAATATAAATATTGTATTTTTTTTTAATCATAGAACATAATATTTAGATGTTATATGAGTAATAAGCTGGAATTTTTGTGACATTTTTAGTGTCTTAAATTTATGGTGATTTTATTTTTTATTTTTTAAATTAAAAATTATTATTTTTAGTTTTTATATTTTTCAAAAATTTTATTTTAATTTTTTAGGCCAAATTGAAATAATTCTCCTAAGAGTACAAAGTTCTCAAATTGAAATAATCATATAATATTAAGTTTAATATTTAATGTGATGTTTTCACTAATAAATATATTAATAATAAATTTTATATAATAATATTTAATAAATTTTTTAATAAAATTAAAATAAAAAAATTAAAATAAAAAATTTAAAATTATATGATTATACTTTTACACTTAATTCTTCAATTTTTATTCTCCATAAATTAATTTTAAATTTTTTTTTATAAGATACTAATATTTAAAAACTGAATATAAAAACACAATCAAATACAACCTTAGTCTCTAATTTTATTTTTAAGAAATATTAATTTTAATGTAATTAAAAACTTTTTAAAATTAAATAGTCATGTATATTTGTTGTACAATTTTAATAAAATAAAGACTTGAATATATTGTTAATTTCTCAAATTTAGAATAATAATTTTTTTAGTCTTTTAAATTTAAAATTTATCCTTTTAATTCTCTTATAATTTGAAGAAGAAAACTTTATTTTAATCTTATAGTCAAATTTCGTTAATGAATCTGTAAAATATTATTATACAAATTCAATTATTTATACCTTTATACTAATGATAATATCACATTAAATTAAGTCACTGCTACATAATTGTCTCAATGTATCATTATCATATATGTTACTTGTTACTTGTGACCTGGAGAACTAAAACAACATTTTTAATTTATTGAGATTTAAAATTTTATTTTTAAATTTGAGAGATTAAAATTAAATTTATCTTAAATATGAAAGAATAAAATTATATTTAAATCCAAATATTATTATAAAATATTATTTATAACTAAAGACTAATATGTTTTACACTATATAATTTTTAATTTTTATTATTAAAACTATGTTTCCAAACTTAAATTAATTTAAAATTTTAACATAAATTAGTTTAGATGAGATGAAATAAATCAAGAGATTTAATTGATAGGAAATAAGAAGATAAAAAATAAAAAAATAATTGACTTCACTCCTTTTCCTCTCTTTTTTTTGTTCTTATATATAAGAATTTCTCTTTCACTAAATAATTAAATTTTTATTCAATTTATTTTTATTTTTATTCACTTATTTCTCTTTTCTTTGATTCACTCACCTCTATTTCTCAATTATTTATTTCCTTTCTACCAAACTCCTAAATATTAATTACACATGAAACTCCTAAATAAAAATTACACATCACAAATTTCGAACATTTTTTTCCAAACATTTTCAACATTTAAAGGAAAACAAAAATGAACATCCCCATCCCCTAGGTAACTAGTGCCAACAAGGATAACGAAAATGGGTGGTGAGAGATTATAAATAGAAAAACCACATCGGGTGAAAAAAAAAAACAGGCGAAAAATCTAGAAAAAGATGGAGAAGTCTAGGAGTTTCTTCTCTCTGTTCACCAGGAAACGTCCAGAACCATTTAGACGCATCTTCTCCTTCAACAAATACTCCACCTTTCCCTCTTCTTCACCGCTTCAATTCACTATCACACAACAACATCACGCTAAATTGTTCTCATTACCAAACCAAACTCTTCGCAATTGTATATATATATATATTACCAAACCATCCTAACTCAATTTCTCCCAAACCAAACCCTTCGTCTTTCACATCTCAAGGTACGTCAAACTCTTCCTTTCTTCCTTCCTTCTCTTTTTCAACCGTTACCACAATCCGTTTCGTATTGCGTATTCTTATCACTGTTATTATTATTATTATTATCGTTGCGTAGGTTAGAAATGAATCCCGACAAGTTCACACACAAATCAAACGAGGCTCTCGCAGCGGCGCACGAGCTCGCAATGAGTTCGGGCCACGCGCAGTTCACTCCTCTCCACTTAGCCCACGCGCTGCTCTCCGATTCCAACGGCATTTTCTCCCAAGCGATAACCGCCGCGGGCGGCGAGGACTCCGCACGCGCCGTGGCGCGCGTGCTGAGCCAAGCCCTGAAGAAGCTCCCCTGCCAGTCGCCGCCGCCGGACGAGATTCCCGCGAGCACCAGCCTCGTGAAGGCCATCAGAAGGGCACAAGCGGCGCAGAAGTCGCGCGGCGACACGCACTTGGCCGTCGATCAATTAATCCTCGGAATCCTCGAAGACTCCCAAGTCGGAGAGCTGCTGAAGGAGGCCGGCGTGGCGGCGGCGAGGGTGAAGTCGGAGGTGGAGAAGCTTCGCGGGAAGGAAGGGAGGAAGGTCGAAAGCGCTTCCGGGGACACGAATTTTCAGGCTTTGAAGACTTATGGGCGTGACCTTGTTGAACAAGCGGGGAAGCTTGACCCCGTTATTGGGCGTGACGAGGAGATAAGAAGGGTGGTGAGGATTTTGTCACGCAGGACTAAGAATAACCCCGTTTTGATCGGTGAACCGGGTGTTGGAAAAACCGCGGTGGTGGAAGGGTTGGCGCAGAGGATAGTAAGAGGTGATGTTCCCAGCAATCTTTCTGACGTGAGGCTCATTGCGTTGGACATGGGGGCGTTGGTGGCGGGTGCGAAATACAGGGGTGAGTTTGAGGAGCGGTTGAAGGCGGTTTTGAAGGAAGTGGAGGAGGCTGAGGGGAAGGTCATTTTGTTCATTGATGAGATTCATTTGGTTCTTGGTGCTGGTCGCACGGAGGGGTCCATGGATGCTGCGAATCTCTTCAAGCCTATGCTTGCTCGTGGCCAGCTTAGGTGCATTGGCGCCACCACGCTCGAGGAGTATCGCAAGTATGTGGAGAAGGATGCTGCGTTTGAGAGGAGGTTTCAGCAGGTTTTTGTGGCGGAGCCTAGTGTGAGTGACACCATTAGTATTCTTCGTGGCTTGAAAGAGAGATATGAGGGACATCATGGTGTTACAATTCAGGATCGTGCTTTGGTTATCGCAGCTCAACTCTCTAGCCGCTACATTACCGGTATGGAATCTGTACCCTTTTGGTGTTTATGTTTTGAGTTGTTTTTGTTCTGGAAAATGATGTTTTGTAGTTTTGTTTGCGTCATGTGCTTATGTTCTGTGTTCTTGTTCAGGGCGTCATCTTCCTGACAAGGCTATTGATTTAGTGGACGAGGCTTGTGCGAATGTGAGGGTTCAGCTTGATAGCCAGCCTGAGGAAATTGATAATCTTGAGAGGAAGAGAATGCAGCTGGAAGTGGAACTTCACGCTCTGGAGAAAGAGAAGGATAAAGCCAGCAAAGCCCGTCTTGTAGAAGTATGTATTGATTTGGTTTTTTTATTGGATTTGTTTCCGTCGATAATATTGCGATGGTTCTAAGTTTTGTTGATTATGTGCAGGTGCGGAAAGAACTTGATGACTTGAGAGACAAACTTCAACCTTTGATGATGAAGTACCGAAAAGAGAAGGAGAGGGTTGATGAGATTCGGAGGCTCAAGCAGAAACGAGAAGAGCTTCTCTTTGCTTTGCAAGAGGCTGAGAGGCGATATGATTTGGCTAGAGCTGCAGACCTGCGATATGGGGCAATTCAAGAGGTGGAAACTGCAATCCAACAGCTTGAAGGGAACACTGATGAAAACTTGATGTTGACCGAGACTGTTGGACCTGAGCAAATAGCTGAGGTTGTGAGCCGCTGGACTGGTATACCAGTGACGAGGCTTGGCCAAAATGAAAAACAAAGGTTGATTGGACTTGGTGACAGATTGCACAACAGAGTTGTAGGGCAAGACCAAGCTGTTAATGCTGTTGCTGAGGCTGTTTTGAGATCGAGAGCTGGGCTAGGTAGGCCTCAACAACCAACTGGTTCATTCTTATTTCTTGGTCCAACTGGTGTTGGCAAAACTGAGCTGGCAAAGGCTCTTGCTGAGCAACTCTTTGATGATGAAAACCAACTGGTGAGGATTGACATGTCCGAGTACATGGAGCAGCACTCAGTTTCAAGATTGATCGGTGCACCACCAGGGTAAGTGGGTTGAGATGAACTTCACGTGATTGTTATTTATTTTTCCTGCAAGTATTATATCTTACTCCTTACATTGAATTTTCAGGTATGTTGGACATGAGGAAGGTGGACAACTAACTGAAGCTGTAAGACGAAGACCTTACAGTGTGGTGCTTTTTGATGAAGTGGAGAAGGCACATACATCTGTGTTTAATACTCTTCTTCAAGTTTTGGATGATGGAAGGTTAACTGATGGACAAGGGCGTACTGTGGACTTTAGAAACACTGTCATTATCATGACCTCAAACCTTGGAGCAGAGCACCTCCTTAGCGGACTTTCAGGAAAATGTTCCATGCAAGTTGCTCGGGATCGTGTAATGCAGGAGGTGTGTTGAAGAGGCTATTTTTGTTATAAATTTTTCATGTGTTACTTGCTGTTATTGTTTATACTAAAGTATAATTTTATATCCTTAACAGGTGAGAAGACATTTTAGGCCAGAGTTGTTGAATCGACTTGATGAAATTGTGGTATTTGACCCTCTTTCACACGAGCAATTGATGAAGGTTGCAAGGTTACAGATGAAGGATGTTGCTAGTCGTCTTGCTGAGAGAGGAATTGCTTTGGCAGTGACAGATGCAGCACTAGACTATATTCTTGGCGAGAGCTATGATCCGGTAGGTTCATTATGACATATTTGCTTAGCATATGATTAAAAAAAAAAATGTTGCTAGAGGTTCTTAATTCCTTTTCTTCTTTTTGTTACTTGCAGGTGTATGGTGCTAGACCAATTAGGAGGTGGCTTGAGAAGAAGGTGGTGACAGAGCTTTCTAGAATGCTTATAAGGGAAGAGATTGATGAGAATTCAACAGTTTACATAGATGCTGGACCAAAAGGGAGTGAGCTGGCCTACCGTGTAGAAAATAATGGAGGGATTGTTAATGCTACAACTGGGCAGAAGTCAGATATCTTGATCCATATACCTAACGGACCTAAAACTGATGCAGCTCAAACAGTCAAGAAGATGAAGATTCAGGAAATTGACGATGATGAAATGGAAGAGTGAATTTTATGATAACTGTAAAAATGGTTTGATGGCTAAAGTTTCAGCTTTTTGTTCCTCTTAAATTTCCTTTTTTTGTTTTTGTTTTATTATATATATTCTGAAAGGGTGTGAGTGAAAAATGAAAGTCCGTAGCGCCTGCATTTTGTTTGATCAATAAAATTTCTCTTTGTAGATAAATTGATTACTAAAGTGAGGTGGACAACATTTGAATGAACTCCTTCAAATTTTGTTTAGAAAAGAAGCAAATTTGATTAAAAAATCTAGCCCTTTTAAAGAATGCAAATTTGTTAAACTCTTGTGTGCACCGATAGATTTAAACGTTCTCATATCTGCTTTTTCTGGCTAAAATAACAAAATCTATTATTTAATAAAGATGTTGAAAGTATAAATAAATTTTATTGAATGGAAAATAAGAAACAAACCAGAGTTTGTGTCATTATCACTCAACTGAGAGGAGTGATTAATTAATGGATATGATCTATGAAACATAACTATGGTTGATTGATTTTGCGTTGTTAAGTGTCTTATGATTTCTGTTGCAACACAAGAAAAGAATGGTCAAATCCAAAAGAATGACCACATGTTTCCATGTATCGTAAAATGTTGAGCAATTCATTTTTAAAAGGCTTAAATGTTCAACGTTGAAAATGATTGTATTGTACATTTAATCGATCTTCAGTTGTGATCAAGAGTCTTTCTAAGCGAAATGATGATACATATTAACCTAAAAGCCTTTACATAGTCTAAAGAAAAGAACTATGAAGGGATGTATTTATGTCAAGAAAACAAATCTTGATTTTTATCATCGTAGATCTGCACGACTTGATGGGAATCTCTAAAATCTGTGTCGATAACGGAAGAAATCTCACAATTAGATGGATTCTTTTCTAAATGATGTACCAACTTATTAACAAAATGAAGAGAACACTGCAAGACCTGATCATACATGTTCCATTCTACCAATGTAATCTTTTGGCATGCGTAACAATTTTTGTAAGTAATAAACCCAATCTAAGTTCAAATATTATATTTACAGTGCGCAATATTTATTCAATTTAATTAGAAAAAGATTGGTTCAGGGTTTCATTGTAAAAACTATAAATTAAATTCCTTTTTAAGTATTTTTAATTTTAGGAAAACAAAATAATAAGTGTTATGATTAAATATTAAAGCTATCATTAAGAATTAATTTACTAACCTTTTACATGTACTAACTTTTAATTTATTAATTATTAAGACCCATGTGTTCAATAATTACCTAATATATCTCCAAATTATATACTTATAGATAAATTATCCACCAACATAATTTCAAGAAATGTTGAATAGAGTGAATCAGAAGAGAGGAATCATGACATGAATATTTCTTTGGATTTTAAATAAATGACAAAAATGATATATTAGAAGTAGAAACTGGAAACTGCATTATTTTTATAGCTAATCATAGAAGTAACGACTAGAAACTACATTATAAAGCACAAAATGGTATTACAGGATACAGGTACTTGATCACTTATCTACAAAACATATCAGATGATGTCAAGCAATGACCACTGTTAAATGACTAGGCAATTCAAGATGGTAGCTTTTATCTTTACGTAAAACACAATTTAAAACCAATGAAAATGAGAGTCACATCTTGTCGGATTTTTTTTCTTCTTTTCAGATATTTTAGGATTAATGTTAAAATATTACAATTGTTTGATGGCAGATTGAGACTTTAATCTTTGTACTTATTACAAACTATGAATCAACCAACTATCTATAATTTTCATTGGATATGCACCTCAAACAAAGGTAGGGAAGATGGAACTAGAAGGATATCACTTGCACATGTTTGAAGAACCAATCAAATTTTACGTAGTTTGGATCTTGACAGAAGCAACAATGTACATGTTTATGTTCACATTAGATCCTTTCCAAATTTGATTCAACCAAAAGTTATACATCTTTACTTCCTGTTCTTACCGGGGATCCGATGTAGAGATGGTCTACTGGGTAAAATCGGTGAGCCTCCTATGCTAGTACGTTGGTTGCTCCAAGATGGGGGTGGTATCTGTAAAAGAGATTCCATGCTAAAGTTAGTGTTTGTGGGAGCATTAGTATCGTATAAGTAATGCACGTACCTTTGTGTGGATTAGGGTTTTGTTAGGCCTTGGGCCTGAGATCAGTTATGACCTAATTAGATAGCGGACCTCGTCTTGGTCGAGGTCTCCCAGCGCATGTCCGAGGTCGTCCTGCGCTATGATGCCGAGTTCAAGCTCGGCTTAGCGGTACGGATAATACACTAGCCCTCTGAGCTCTACACTAGCCCTCTGAGCTCTGAAGACCGTAGGTCGAGGAGTTAAGGCCGAGCTCGTCGAGGGGTTGTGACTTTTCGCGTACGCTTACTTGTCAAGATGCCATGTGTCACAACCGTTGCCTTGTTCTTGAAGACGTGCAGGCGGCGTGTGACGGTTATGTAATGATGGTTTTGCCTCGCCATAATGGGCTTCATTAAATGTGTCAGGTGATCTCTCTCTCTCCGACACGTGTCGTGACCGTTTGAATTTCGGGGAGCCCTTTTCTCTCTCTCGCGCCTCTTCCCCTTCTCACTTTTCCCCTTTTCCGTTTCCTTTCCTTCCTGGCTTCTTGTGCACGCTGCTCTCTGCACTGTCGCTTCCGCCATTCCCGTTCTCTCTTTCTCTGTCTCCGTTCTCCTCCGTCGCCTTCTCCGGCAACCGAGTTTTCATTCTCTGTTTTCTGTTCTTTCTTTGTCCAAGGAGTACTAGGTACTTCTATTTCCTTATCTTCTTCTTCTTCTAAAATATTTTCCATTTCTTGATGGCTGGTAATAGCGGTGCCGCTTCTTCTGCGCTTGCCAAGGGCAAGGGTAAGGCGCGCGGCAAGGCGGGGGCTGCAGGGACAGTCACCATCGAAAAGAAAAAGGCGGAGAACCAGCCTAAAGAGCCCAATTCCTAGCTACGATTGGGTCAGGAGTGACGTGGGAGAGTTCCAGAGTGTGTTCAGGTCGTTCATGGAGATCAATGCGATTCGAAAATCGCATAGGATCTGTGAATCTTCCGTTTCCAAGTTCATTCGGCTCGAGCCTTGTCGGCCCGATGAGCGTGTCTATATGGGGGGTCCTTCTGACCCTCCTTTCTTTTATGTATACCAGTGTTTTTTTAGGGATTTAGGTGTCTGTCTTCCTTTCACTCAATTTGAGTGTGACTTTTTGAATTTCATCAACTCGGCTCCTTGTCAATTGCACCCCAATAGCTAGGGTTTTTTGAGGGCTTTCCAAGTCCTGTGTTCGGCCTTGGGGATAGGGGTGTCTCTGCCCGTTTTTCTCCATTTTTACCAGTTAAAAATGGGTGTTCCTCCTTATGGCTTGATGTCCCTGAATGGGAGTAAGGCTGGGGGTCTTTTTTCCCTTTACTCCCAGTCGTATAAAAATTTCAAACAAGAGTTCTTCCGGGTGGCGCTTGTGGATGTCAACCTGTTAGAGGATGGGGCATTCTATTTCGATGGGTTGCCGAAGTTCCCCTTCTACTGGTGGCCGGTCCCGACTAGGTTTCACGGAGTGAGGGAGTTGCAATTGTTGGCCTTGGATGCCACCGCCATTGCAAACCTTGAAGCGCTCCCTCGTCCGCTGGATTGCAAGCTCGTCCTATCGCTTGCGAACTCGGCGTACAAGGAGAGGGGCTTAGAGAGTGAGTATCTCGTCTTTCTTTTTATCCGATAGCTCGTCCTATCGCTTGCGAACTCGGCGTACAAGGAGAGGGGCTTAGAGAGTGAGTATCTCGTCTTTCTTTTTAGGGTTTGTAGGAGTTTCTGTTACTGATGTATTTGATTTCTTGTGTTCGCAGGCATAATGGGCAGGAACAAGTGGCGTGAGTTGAAGCACCACTACAACGTCGCCGAGATTGAGGTCCCAGAGCCTCAAGAGGAGGATGTGGCCCCCCTGAAGACGCACAGGAAAAGAAAGAGGGGAGAGAAGGAGGTCGGGGGGACCTCTGCCCCTCGGGAGACTGAGGAGGTTACTTCCAAGGCCGCTGACGCTGACGCGGTCGACCTCACGGGGAGTCCGCCGCCGGAGGGGGCTCCCCAAGTGGCCACCGAGGAGGTTGCTCCGGCTGCCGAACAGGTCGTCCAGGCCACCGACGTTGGTGCTATGCTTTGTGGCTTTTCTTTTATATTTTCACTTCTTGGTTTTCTTACTTAAGAACGTCTTTTGCAGGCTAGGGACGCTGCCGAGGTCCCGGTGGCCCCGAGCTCGGAGGTACCCGGGGTGGGTGTCCCCGTTGCCAAGCAAGGGATGCCGGCTGCTGCTGAAGCTCGTGGCAAAGGGCCGAGATCCGAGGTCCCAACATCTACTCCCGCAACCTCGGCGCCGCCATCAGGCTCGTCAAAGGAGCGTCCCAAAAGCCAGTACCTCGCCCATTGCTTCGAGAAGGATCGTTCTCGGGTGCGACTGGATCATGTCAGCGCTTCGGAGGACATAGATTCTCTGTGGAGTGCGGGGGTGACCTCGGAGATGTTCTTCTCCAAGGAGTCGCTGAGTTCGGCCGATCAAGCCATGATCGAGACGGTCGGGCCGGTGGAAGACCTTGATTCTGCTGAGGTTTTTCTATAGAGGGCAATGGCCATTGTGGACCATTGGAAACACAAGTGGGCCAAGCAGCAGAAGGACCTTGATAAGATGAGGGGCCGAGTCCAGCTGCTGGAGGAGGAGAACAGGGCTCTGGGGGCTGCCCTTGGCGAGGCTAAAAGGCAGAATGAGGCTGAGCTTCAAGCTACAAGGGGAGATCTCGCAAGGGTTCAAAAGTCCCTGGAGATCGCCTTGCGGTCTAATGAGACTTATGCTTCCCAAGTGGGTGAACTGCAGGAGCTCGCCACCTCTTCCCGAGGTCGAGTGCGTTCCTTAGAAGATGAGGTGACGTCTCTGAAGGCTAATTTGGTGGCGACGGCCGAGAAACATCTTTGTGACGAGGTGCTTCTTGGCGGGAAAGAAGAGGAGGTTGCCGCCTTGAGGGTGGACCTTGCGAAGATGGCGGTGGAGAGGTCCGAGTTGGAGAAGAAGCTCGTTGACACTGAGCGAGCTGTCCTGTTTGAGCATAAGAGGGGATTTCTGAAGGCAGCTCGCTAGGCGAGGTTGCTTGCTCCCGGGATCGACTTCTCGGCAATGCATGTGGAGAAAGAGGTGTGCTTCGGGAAGCTGGTAAGAGAAGATGA